AGAGCGTGCTGGAAATGTCTCCAGGTAGGATGCCATTGTACAATATTGCAAGGTGTGCAACGTGTGACATATAAATAACCTGGAGTATCAAAAGAATTGGAGCAGTGAAGAATGTTCCTATTCAGGTTTAGGCAGGGAGCACCTGGTACTTCTTCCTGGGGTGGTCTCACAGTGGAGGTGGGCTTTGGCACTGGGTCAAAGGAGTAGTGGGAGGATGTGTGTGACCATGTGGCTTTAAGAATGGCAGGCAGGTGATGGGAAATGTTTTCACAGTGTCTCTGGAGCAGCATGAAACAAATAAAGGGGAGCAAGAAGCTGCTTGTGGATGAGTGGTGGATAGAAATCTTCTGAGTGGAGAAGGCTGTCAGCTTATGTCTCTGGGCAGCAGGAGAAAGTGCCTTTCTTTGCCCTCAGACCAGAATTTGTGGAATTGATGCACTGACTTAAAGGTGAGGAGGAAGAACAGACAAAAGTGCAAGAGTGAGCATTCGCTCTGGAGTGGTAAAGGACAGTGGCTGGGGATTCGCTGAGGGGTGGGGAGGTGGCAGTGTCCATCTCCATACAGGCACTGGCACAGGATTGTTGCCTGCCAGAGGCCCTGGTAAATTATTCCATGAAAGTAAAGGGGATTTCCATCTTTCCATAAGTGTTCTACTGCCTTTAGTAGCTAAGCTTTGTAGTAATTTTATTTGAACACATTAATTGCACTCAGCATTTATAAATCACTGTAATTTATTTAAAGGAGTCATCCACAGAAAACAATCTGTTTCTCAAGGACTAGGGATTTGCAGGCTAGAAAGAAGCAGAAGCTATGTGGTTTTTCTAGGAAAGAAAAATTATTCTCTGTTCCTGATAATAAAGAAAAAGAGCTGTTTTAAAGCCAAATGATTCTTGAAGATCTCAAGCTTTAAAATATTGCCCAATGACATTTATAAAGTACATCTGCTGATACTAGAGTAGATCTTTAAAAAATGTCTGGTGTTAACAGACAAAGTCTTTCTGTTGAAGTTTGTGTATATGGGTGCACTCCCCATAATTCTCTATGGCTGTTCTTCATAAAAACAAAACACCAGCATTTTGGTTAGCCTTGCCTGAAAAGTTGTACTTTCTACGCTTCCTTTTAGAAGTTATTCAAATGATTCCTACTTGTGCACAGGGAGTAAAGTAGTAGCATGTGCTGTAATCCCATGTGTGCCTCTCAACTCATAAGAAGTTTTATAATTTTGGATCTACCTAGTGTTGATATTCATCCATTCCTAAGTCAAAGACAGGAGACTGTTCTGGTGATAACAAATAGTAACAATCACTGTCCACGTGACACAAAGAGCTATTAAATATGTTATAGCACATCTAATAAAATGATCTTGATGTATAAGATATCTATCCTGTAAGCTACATAATGCTGACTTAACATGTAGTTTGCAGCACACAGCAGCTGAACCCTGATGTTCCTAAAAAAAATTAAACTAAATAAGGTTTTCAGAAATAAAAGTGCAAGACATTGCACAGCAGAGCATGCCAGATAAAATTTGGAAAGATTCACAACAGGTGGGCAGGCTGTTCTTCTAAAGTTACTTACTTGATAAGCCTGCCTTGAAGATGGAATTTATTTTTCCAGTAGCTCCCGTCCCATTCCCTCTCATACACACAAAAAAAACCAAAACCAAAACAAATTTTTCCTCAGTCAGAACAAAAGGTTAAATTATTTCAAGTGCATACAATGATGGAAAATATTACAAAAATACCCCAAAATAGTGTCTGCCTTATTCTTCAGCCTGCTTGAGTATCCTGATGACTGCTCCCTGTTGTATGGCTACTAGCTCTGTGTAGAAGAAATGGAAAGTTAGCAGTAAATTTCCAAGTGCATGGCATAACATTGATTAATATCCAAGAACACCCCTATCTTTGGGTCTCTGGAGCTCTTATTAACACTTGTGTATTAATATATCGAGAGATTATAATAGAAAGAAATGAACATTTGACTTTTTTTAATGGTAGGGTTTTTAAAATGTGATGTAGAGTTTATCAATGGAAAGACAGCACTGAAAATATTTTATAATACCAGTTTTATCATAACATGGGTACATTTAGTGCTCCTGTGATGACTGCAAAGCATGAATGTAGGTGCTGTATACTTGCAGTGGTGATACAAAAAATTCTGACATCTACTTGTGTACTCTTTTGAAGTGTACTCCTTTAAATTTCTTTTATCCACAGATATTACTACATAAACAGAGCCTACTAAGCCCAGCTAGGTTCTGGATATTATTTCGTTTACTGTGAATGACTGCCAAGGCAGACTATATGGCCCATCCCAATTTCAACCTGCCCTAATTCCCTTTATGACTTTATTATTTAGTGCTGTGTTACTGCTTAGAGAGACCTAAACAGGAAGACTCTGGGCGTTCTCTGTTCAAGAAGTGGGTGGGATGAAGTTCTTTAGAGAAAACAAAATATGATCCACCTACAGATCATGTTAGGCCAGCTTCCCAATTTCCTCTAAGCAGAACAGAGGCCTTTGTTGCCTTAGTTACTGGAACTATCTACTAGTCAAAAGCAGGATCCCAGTCTCCATACAGAACATCCTCCTGCATTTTTGATGGCAGTGTAGGATGGGAAATATTAACTTTTCTGTTTGTTGATTTTATTGTAAAAAGGAAAGAAGTAGATCATTCAAGTCTTTGCAGAAAATAAAGTAATAAAAAAGAAATCAACTCTCACAAAACAATTCTGCAAGGTGACTGAATGGAGGGAGCATTGTGTGGGAGAGGCTTAGTACCTCCCATGAAGCTACATTCCTTTATTTTCCATTACTTTCTTAACATCAGAAAGAAGGAGCACTGAAAACTGCATGCTAAGTTTCAAGGCACAAGTAGATTACAGCAGCTACATTGGCAGAGCCAGACCACTGAAGCTTGTGAAACACCCATAAATGCTCCAGATAAGATTTCAAACTGTTTCCTTCACCAGAAATGCAGGTATTGTAGTGCTGTCTCCTATTTCTTCTGGAAAACACAACCCATTATTTTCCCCTGTGAAGCTTGAACAAGCCAAATCCTTCCTGTTTGAAAGCAAGAGCTTTAGTACAGTCGTACTGGGGTGACAATTTACAATGACATGGAGGTCCAAAATAATCTTTAAGAAAGAACGAAGTCCTAAAAATTTCATGAAGTGTCTTTTTCCCCAGAATGGTGTGATATGACATAGTGGTTCCATGGTACTTAAAATGTATCTCACCTTGTGTGGCCATGGGCTCCCTTGCCCTGCTAATCATTCTCACCCCAGAACGGTCCCCAGTTCACTGATAACAATTTTTGTGGGATTAAGTGTAGGCCATTCTAACTCTGAAAGCTGATGATGCAGTAAGATGAACACCAGCACAAGACCAAGGAAGAGGTCTGGGTGAGATGGTATGGCTGAGGTGAGGCTGAGTTAAAGGAGCTCGAACATGAGAGCAATGTCATGGAAATACTGAGGCTAATCTAAATGAAAAAGCAAATGTTTTGTCATTGCCTGCGATGAAGATCTAGACAGAATGCTGTTTATTTGTGTGATTTTGAGTAAATTTGGAATTTTTATTTAGATTAACTCAGATTTTAGAATTTAACAACTAGAGTTTTATAAGAATTTCAGGTTATCATAAATTGCCATTGAAATTGAGAACACTAGGATACAATTTTAAAGCACTTAAATAAATTTAATATTTGTTTTACTTATAGTATTAGTATAAACTATACATTTTAAAAGAGTGTCCAACTCTATTTCATCATCAATGCCCTTTTACAATACTTCTGCTTTGTTCAGCTAAAAGTAGAATATTTTACTGGTATTTCCAGTAATTTCCTGACAACCCTTCTCTACAGTAGCGCAACACTATTCAAACTGCACAATTTTGAGTCGACCTTCCATGCTGTTGCTTAAATGGAAACTTATTTAATACAAACATCACAAACGTGTAAACACAAATGTGTTTTTAATGTCAATTTCTTTGCATTGCACTTTTCCTAAACAAAAACTTCAGCTGAAATTACCCAGTACAGCTCCTTTCCAAAACGGAAGGCTCATACAAAGTAAAAATTTTTTTTAATGACTGTCAGAATTTACATTGTAGTAAAATCTTTTATAACAGGATTTGCAGTCCATTTCTTGTGCAAAGACTGTTAGTGGAACTGTACATTTGAGATGAAGGGATTGTTGAGACATTGTGTCATTTTTTTTTTGCTAACCTATTTAATCAGAAATCTTATTATTTGTGCTAACACCAAATATCAAGAGTGATTGACAAACATTTGACGCGATCCTGAGCTTTAGACCGAAGGTCTTGAATGCACAAAGCCTGTCCTTACTCACATTTTTTAAAGTAATTTTCTACAAGGATTGAGCATATATCTCTTTTCACCATTTCTATTTCCTTAGTTTTCATTCCTTCACAAATGTAAGCATAATAAATGGCTTCCAGAGGCTACCTTTAATGCAGTGATGTTAATTGAAACTATATAAAATGGAGCCACAATAAGCCCTATTAAAAAATTAAAAGCTATTAATGGGAAGAATGCTGGAGTAACCCATACAGCTGAACAGGAGTCAACGAGCACACCTTGGCTTGTTTCTCAAAACTCTCAACATTTTATTTTTATGGAACTCCAAACCTGAGCAATCATTTCTATTTCTGAGTGGAAATCTGTTTAAAATTGAGAAAGGGTGACTTAAGCTCTGCAGATTTTTGAGGTGCTGGGAGTTTTGAGGGTGAGAAGTGAGTTGGGGTGCGGGAGAGGTTTCTCCCAGCTTCCAGAAGTGGGCCAGGCAGAGATGACACATACAAAAAAAAAGAGCCCGCAGACCCAAGCAAGCCTCCAAACCAGCACGATGCCGGGGAACCAGAAGCGGGCAGCTTTCTCCAGGGAAGCCCTTAAGCCCTCGGGGCCGCGGGGTGACGAGGCGCGGCCGCGGCGGGGCGGCGCGGGGGCGGGCGG